GAGGCCGCGAGGGGCCCAGCCTCGCCCAGGTGAGCGCGTGCCGTGCGGGCGGGGGGCGGCCCGGCGCCGCGGGGAGGGGCGGTCCCGGCCCGGCGGCCGGGGCGCGGGCGGGGCTGCGCCGCTCCGGGCCGGTCCCGTGCCGCCGCCGCGCCGCCTGCCCCCGCCGCAGCCCCTGCCCTCCGCTGCCCGCGCTCCGCGGCGCCGCAGCACCCCCGAGAGCGGCGGAGCGACTCGGGGGCGCTTTGTCTTTCCCGGCGCTTCTGTAACCTGTTGGGGGTTTTTTTGGTTTTGTTTTTGTTTTTTTCCCCTTTTGCTCTTCCTGCAACGACTTTTGAATTCGCGTGAGCTGTTGGAGGGTAACCCTTGGAAAAACAAGGGGTGCAGAGGCCCCAGTTGTGCGCTTCTCCAGGGTTTTCTTTGCGTCTTTGTTTACCTTGGGTAGTGTGTTCCTCTGGTGGGAAAATGTGTTTTGTATGAGAAGGACGCTCAAGTTGCTCGTTGCATATCTAGCACAAGGGTTCCCCTTGTGCTGCTGACATCTAATGGGTTGCAGATGTGGCTCCGAGCCACACAGCCATCCGAGGGGAATATAAAACTGTGCTACTGGTTCCTTTTTAAATGCGAAAATAAGATGGACTGAGCAGAGTCGTAATGTTTTAACTATTTCCCCGCTTCCACTTCTGGAACTTTCTTTGCCTGGAGGTTATTGGACAACAAAGGCCACTTTCTGAAAGACTTGTATTGATTTCTTTGTCTATTTTTTTTAAATTTTAAAATTTATTTTTGGGGTTGCATTGCTTCCACCTTTGTTAAGCAGCATCAAAGTGTATTTATGTTCTAGTTTGTTAACTGTCTAGCAAGGCAACTTTCTTCAAAGTTTATCAGTACCTTGGTGAATCTATAACTGTAATAACTTAGTTAAGCTAGGTCATGGTTGTAACTAGCTGTGCACTTTAAACCAGCGCAAAGTACCCAACAACACTTAAAAAGCTTAAAAAAAACTTGTGTGTCAAGATGGCAAAAGTCAGTCCTGTTTGACTTTTGGTTTCCCTGACAAGTAATTCTAGCTTTTAAAAGTAAATGAGTAAGTAAATCTTTGAACCCTTGAGCATCCCTTAAAGAATGTAAAATTTCTTTTCATTCCTCTTCCCAGAGATTTTATTAGGTTTTTGATCTTCTCTGGTACTTGTCAAGCATCAGACAGAGTAATAGCTTCTTACAGGCAAGGGCTGTACTATTTCCACTCTCCAAGCTAAAAATTTAAGTACAAACAGTAATGTTCCTTGGAACAGGAAGCAAATGCTACATTTAAAATGTTTCTCTTAAAGCATGCTAAGTTACTTAAGTCTATTAAAAACACAGTGTATGACCTTGAGGTGGAATCTGAGTGTGGTGCTCTTTTGAGCTCTCCACCCTGTGGTTCTCTTGCTCCAGCTACCACCTGTAATTGCTGCTTCTGTGGTACACGTGCTGGGAGCCAGGCAGTCAGGGCAGCACAGCTTTCCCTGCTGCCCTGGAGGAGGGAATCGTGACCTCTGTGGAGGAAATAGGTCTGTAGCAAAGTCTCAGGAGAACAGTGAGGTGCTTGTCATGTCTTTGCTAAACCCTGATGTCCCCCCATATATATACACATATATATTTATATATAGAGAGAGATATCTGGTAGGAAATCAGTGAGAGGAAGTGTGGGGGAATTCATCTGTCCAGCCGCAGTTGCTCTTAAGAGTAATTTTCTGAGTGTTTTTCTCCAGTGATCTAGAGAAGGCTGGTGCTGTCCAGGCAAACTCCAAAGAGGGTGGTTATGTGGCTACTGAAAGCCAATATAAACAGTTTTCTGTGGTTCTGGCTTAGCAGAGGCTGGTGCTCTGTCTGGGGAATCAAAGGCAGAGACACAGCAGGTGATGGAAAGCAGTGTGTGAGTCGGGGCAGCTGGTATTTCTGCTTGAGTACATGAGGGTAACAGTTCTGATTAATGAAACACTCGAATTTTTTAATTACACTATGTCAACTGTTTCTCTTTGCTCTCCAGCCCAGTTGCTGGTTGGTGTGCTGAAGAGGTGTAATGGGAAGTCAGGGAGGAGGGAGGGCTGTGGTGGCCTTACACATCCTGATGTGTGACATGTGTGGCAGTGTAGCCTGGCTATCTCTGCCTGCTTGGAGGGAATCACAGAGAACAAACCAGGAGTGGGTGCCTTAAGCTGGGTGCTGTGGAGGGAAGGGAAACAGCCTTGAAACCTCCCACAAGGCAGTTGAGAACAGTCACAGCGCACTGAAAATGTTGCCCTTCTCTAGCTGATAAAGAGGAGGTAGGAAGGATGTTTGGGTGCCTTTGACAAATGGGCACTGTGGAGGGGATGGGATTAATGGGGTAAGTTAAGGTTGAGTGAACAAAGAGTAAATATGGATTATCTTGAGAGGGTTTGAACATCAAACATTAGGGAGATAAGTTGGTGTAACTCAATCAGAGCATCAAGAAATAATTGCCTTGGCTGTCCTGACCTCCTTCTCCTTGCTGTATATTTACCTAAAATGCAGGATTCTTTGCCTGGATCCTGTTCCCTTTCTTCCCTTTCCCTTGTATATTATCACATCAACTCCCTGCACCACCAAGGATGTATGTACCATCTTTGTCCTGCCTGTACATCAACATCTCCCTGAAACATCTGTTAATGAGGTAGGAGGGTCTCTACATACCACAAGGGGAAGGGGCTGCACACTGAGTGATCCAACTCTCTGGTTACCCTCTGATCAAAATACCACCAATTATCTAGCGATATGAAAGCTTTGGAAAATTTTTCAAATGAGTAAATAGTTTCAAGCAAGCTACGCATACTTGTCTATAACATTTCAAACTTCTTGTGTTTGTGGTACTTTTTGGCAGAATTGGGTCTGTGGTCAATCTCAGCTTCTGTGTTTTAATTTGCAGTTCATAGAATGGCTTAGAAAACTGCAACCATTGACAGAAACCGAGCAGCAGATTTGATAACGTATTTACTAGATCAAAGTAAAATATTTAAATACCACAATTGCCAGTGTGTAACTTGTACTCTGAAAACTTGAATATTTTTGCTGGCTTGAACATTATTGGTGGTGACGGGAGCTGGAAATGAAGCAGCACTGGGAGAGAGGGACAGGCACAGTGCTGGGAAAGAGCTCTGAGATTAAGTGTGGTACAGTGTGTGTCGATACTCTGAGATGACCTTATGTGGAAAGGAAACAACTTTTGGTTTTCCAAAGCCAAAATAAATGTTCATCACATGAATTGGAGTTCAGCCTTTATCACTCTAACTCAGGAGCGGCCAAACTTAAGATACTGGACTCTATGGAAGTAGATGTTAATTGCAGTCAAGCTGGACAACACAAATCACTACAGAAGTAGTACTTTCTGTCACATCTTTGTTCCGGGTTTTTAATGCATATTGCATTTCTCGGTCTGCAATTTGACGTTTAGAACACAACATCCCACAAATGTGCAATTTTGAGCAAAAAGAACTGGATGAAAGGGATTGTAAATCAAAACGTGCATATAGTGTAAACATTAGCCTGTGCTGTTGCCTTCTCTGATGGACATAGTCCAACTCTGAGCTAAGCTGAATGATTGATACCTCATCACTTACTCGGTGTTACTGTTTAAGGATTCAAATTTAAATCTGTGTTTGTCCATTCCCAGTCATTAGTTTTGCCTCTCGCTGTGTCTGATCAGCTTGAATGGAGCTTGTAACAGTTTCTCCGTGGATGTGACTGGCTCCCTGCAGCTGGGGTACACAGGAGTTACTCACACAGGACTGGAAATGAGATACAGCTCAGCAGTGCAGGTGTTGCAGTGACACTGTGTCAGATGCTCCAGGAGGTCGAGTAACTTGCCTGTGGTCATGAAGTTTGTCAGCTTTATGTTCAGAATGATTCACCTTATACCCCTTATTATTTAAGAAGGTGTTCAGGGGTTTTGTATCAATTTGACCACATAGTCTGTCTCTCCAATCCTCATAAATTATCTGAGTAGCAGAATAGTGTACAGGCTTCAGCTTTACTGTGCCTTGTGATATTTGATCTCCAAGAAAACAGCTTAGAAGCTGTTAATACTCAGTCTTACAACTTTTGATTCGTAAGTGGAACAGGTGGTCACTTTTAAAGTAAATGTAGGTATTTGAAGACTCCTTCAAGCTAGCATTCTTGTTTCTTTGTGTGTGGATCATGGATTTGACATTATAGTGAGGATTCTGCAGTGTCCTGCAAGATGCTCTTCTGTGTGATGCTTCAAAATTTCCTGAAAATGAACAGGAAAACCCAGACCTTGATTGTTACTCTTGCTATGTCTTTGCTCTAGTGTCTCATTTCATGATCCTTGATGGTTAGTATTTCGCAACTTATTTTAGGGAAGGCAGATTTCAGTTCCATTCATCCAACATCGGTAGAGGCTAAGTGACTCACAGTAACAGAGCTAGGAATAGCTAAAAGCCAGGCTTTATAATATCATTTGTCTGCATGATGAAACAATTACCATTTTAGTAATTTGTTTTCCACTGGGACCATTGCATTTCAGTAGTTCTATTGTGAAGCTGATGCTCAAACAGTTGAAGAAAAAAAACAAAAATCAAGTATCCTGATAGCAAGGTGGGGCTGAACCAGTGCTGTTCTCTTGGAATTTGGCTTTCTCGTCAGCTGGCTTCTCAGCTCATTCTCCTGGTTCATACTCTCTTGGAATGCCAGATCTTGCTAGAAAAACATTTCTAATTAATCTGGCAATTTTGGGAAAAAATCTTGGTAAAGAATGGATCAGCAATGTTGTCTACTAATTCTTTGTGCTTGTGGTTGGAAATGCAATGATTTAAAAGCTGTCTCCTAGTGAAGGAGGTTGGTGAAATGCTTGTGGGATCCTCATCCTGTTTGGTGAGAAGTTTTTTGGAAATGAAGTTGCCCTTGTAGGAAAGTGGTCTTTTGGGTAGTGGTGCCTGTGACCCCATCAGTGCAATTTCTGTTGCCAATAGGTAAGGTTTGTCCAGAGGAGATAACACCTTTTGGTAGCACT